ATTGCAGGCTCGCTAATTCTGCTGACTGCCAGCAGTTCGATTCTTACTGGCTCAAGGTTGACTCAGCCTTCCATCCTTCCAAGGTCAATAAAATGAGGACTCAGATTTTGGGGGCAATATGCTGACTCTGAAAAGGTCTGAAAAGCATTATGAAGTGGTATGTAAGTCTAAATGCTAAGTCATGACCATACAGTGAGGTGGACAGCTGATTTTTTGAGTGGACCAGGAGATCCTGTTACTTTCAAAATGTCAGTACAGCACAGGAAGTCATTTTTGTTCTTGTCTTCACTGACATATAGTAGGCTTCCATGGTCTCTGTAGAGCCAAATCTTTACATACATAAAGATACGTATGGGTGTAAAAAGGTAATCTTGTAGGTTTAAAGAAAATTAGGTATTAGAAATGCTGCTTGTCTCAGGCAACAGGTTGAAATAAAGATAATTCCTGTTCTGGATTGGAATTATCAACAAAACTATACAGTTAAGAGGATGGTATTTCTCTTAAATCTTTTCTGTTTTACTCTGAACATGATTTCCTTTGCCTATTTTTTTTTAAACAGCAGTATTTATATGGAACATGAGTATGTTTCAACCCAGGCTGGCTTACTTGCTTTTGACAGTTCAGCTCTTCATTTCATATTCTACTCTTCTATTTCTAACCTCTCTGTAAACTTTCACCTTATTTAAGTCTTCTGAAGTCCATACTGGTTTTTAATGAAAGAAAATATTCGCTAGGAACTCAAGCACTTTAAGACATATAGATTCAAAAGAGCAAATGTTGAAATGAAGTAAGAGGGAAGTCACAGCCCTACTGATCAATCTAAAAGTTGACCTTAATCTATATGAATTGAAATGACAGGAATGCAGGATTGGCCCAAAGCATATTGGTGTCCAGAAGCATTAAAATTAGCCCAAGATTACTTTGTGCTTTGAATAACTGGGGGAGAGTGTGGGTGGGAGAAAGGGAAAAGGAATTTACTAGAATTGGATGAGTGAAGCTGAACACGCAGATGGCATGTCCACAAACATGATTTGGAAATATCCTACTCTGAAAGTCAGATCTCCAACCTTTTTAAAGTCCAAACATGGGTTTTTTTTCAGCACGATACAATGAAAATAATCTTGCGCATGTGAATCTCTGTGAACATAGTGTATACAGAGTAGAAAGAGAGAAAAATCTATCTGCATAGGACAAACAAAATGTATTTTCAATCTTAAACACACTTCAGTTATTAAAATGCTGCTACCAAGGTTAGAGTGTTACAAGTCATGAAGAATACTTTGATCTATCAATAGCCTGTCTATAACACTTAGTGGAAATTTAAAAATCAGTAGCAGGAAGGGATTGCTGCTACCTTTATGCCCTACTTTTTAAGATGGCTTGGGGTCATCTGGCTGGCTAGTGTAGTGGAAAGAGAAAATTAGTTAAATTTTAGTCTAAATTCTTAGATTTCTTACTTTATACAAATTTAAATATCCCAAAGTTCTAATGCAAGAATGTAATAACATTTATTCAATATTAAATACTCCTCACCCACTGAATGGAACCTTTTTTCAAAAGTTATAAGTTATTTCATAGGAAGGTTGATTAGATGGTTTTGAAACAGAAAAATGATACCTAGGTAGACTTCTGTCTTAAAGTAATTTGCAATGCCTTAGTTTCAGGATTGTGGTCAGTTTATTACTAGATAACTGCATTATTTACTGGAAATTTTATGGGAAGCCTTTCAAATGTCTATGTCAGTTAAATGCACTCAATAACACTTGTAAACTTGGAAGCACTAAAGTGTATCACAGAAGTTTTTAAAATGCAACTAAGGAAACAAAGAACCATTGTGCTTGTTTCAGGATTAAGAGACATCTTATTACTTCTTTTTTCTGAATACATCATTTGAAAAGAGTCCAAGTCTGCTTTTTCTGTTCTTTTTGAATAAAGCCTCTCTACATAAAGATTTTTCAAGACTCTCTTTTTAGTTTTGCATTTGATCACTAATATATAGTGGTGATTGTCTATTGTTTATTTTCTACTGAAATTTCAAACAAAAGTTGATAATGTTCTGGGAAAGCACATGCTGGTAAAATACAGCTTTTATTGGAATAAGTCCAAAACCCTTGTAAGACTTGTATTTCCTTGTCAATCATATGTTATTTTTATCGTATCAAAAATGGGCTCTCTATTTTCTTCACTAATGGTCTCATGGCATTTTTAATGATGTTAATCATTCAATAAATTAAAATTGAGAGTTGGAAGATGATACCTAAGGCCAAATTTAGCCCTTCAGAAATATGTCTTTCTCTTCCCTTACAACCATCTTGTAGCTAGTTGGAATATTATCCCAGAAATACTATGCAGAGCTCTGCATTAATTTACAAATTCCTACTTATATTTTGCAGTATCATTAGTCTTTTTTGTCCATACCTCACTTCTACCTTTACCACCATGTTGTTTTTAGCACTCAAGCTCATTGTACAAGTCTTCATTTCTACTTGATCACCCAGTTCTAAAACAGAACTAGTTTCTTCTGGCTTTGGAAGCTGGAGACAGAAATACTCTGCTTTAATTCAATTCCTAAGCTACAGAATTCAACACAACTAGTTTTATTATACAAGACAGAAACTTGGCAAAATTGAAGGAACAACCCCTCCAAGACATTATTTGTGTGCACCTTGATCTTTCATCGCTATTTCATAATCCGAACTAGCAGTTAGATTGCTTTTTGAGAAAATACTTATTAAATGACAGAACTAAAGTTAGTTTCAAATAGAATATGTGAATCACTCTGTACTGAGGAACAGGGTGCCAAACTCACCCTCTTCATCTCTTAAGTTGCTGGTCTGCAGAGGAAGAGGATTGATATATAACCAATTTTTCTATCTACTTTATTGCCAGACTAAGCCTGTTCTCATAACTTCCTTTGGCACAAAAGTTGCTTATTCTAAAAATTCCTATAGTTATTCCATAGAAACATGACACAATAAATCTTCCAATTATTTATCTGTTCCTAAGTCACCAAGTACTTTTTATTCTATAAATAACTTGCAAGGTATAGCAAGAGTTTAAAATCACCAGAAGGCAACACATTTATGCCAGTCCTATAATGCTTCAATTTTCAACAAGGAAGTTCAGAAGAAAATCCCTAGTTATATATCTATTTTTCCATGGTCATGGTAAATATTTCAATGCTTTCCATAGTCAAATGTGTACTCTTAATTTCTCCTGCAGTTCCAAAGGTGCTTTTCCCCCCAAAAGGCAATGACTTGGTTTTTTCTTTGAAAATGTTTCACTTCTTATCAAAATGGAATGTGACCTGCATTCCATTTATTTCAGAAAAGAGACTGAAATAGTAAAACAACACATAGCAAATGAAATAAATAAAAAACCATTTGTTCCTCAGTTACCATAAACGCAACCCAGGATGTGGATTCTCAACTTATTCCATTTCCTTGCTTTTATGACTTGCCTAAAAGTTCATGGGCTGTCATTTGCAGCAATAAATTTTAAAGGAGAAAGGAAAAATAGATGTAAGAACTTCTTAACCCATAACTAAATTATTTAAAGTAACTCTTTATATGGTGCAATTCCTAGCATGACTAACCTTATGTGAAAATCTAAGAATTTTTTTTTTCAAAAAATTGTCATCCAAACATTAGTTATTTCTTGGACTAGCTCCCACCACCACCACAAATAATTACTGATGCCCCTGCAGTGTACCTTCTAGTGTTTCTCCTCATATTTGTATTCTGGATTTAGGAAAAAACTCCATGGGCTAAAACTGCTGCCAAGAAAAGTACAGGTATATTAAGTTCCCAGAAGCTTAAGCTCTTATGATTTTGGACCTCCTCCCAGTGCCATTCTATGTCCCTTCAGTCCTTTCTGCTATGCCCAAGGGTTCATTCCCAAACACGCACATTGGAAGGACACCTTGATGTGGACCCTTGCCTACTTGGGCTTGGAATAAGAGTCTCCCAGGAGTAGCCTTTTATTCCGATAGCCTCCTAATGAATTTGTCCCAAAGGTGCTTTTTTTCAAGAGGCAACTGGACTTTCTTGGTTCTTTTTTGAAGACGTTTCACTTCTCATCCAAGAAGCTTCTTCAGCTCTGACTGGATGGTGGGGAAAAGGAAGGATTCATACTCCTTGCAGACAGCTGGTCATTTGCATTCTTTTAGAGAGTAGCTGAGGCCACCTGGAGGTTTATCTGTGTTGTCAGAGTCACCTGAGTGGTGCAAATGGGTGTGGAGCGTTTAAAGGACTGCGTTGTAGACTGGAGATAGATGTTTTATTTTCTCCCCCTCTGTTGAGAGAGGGCTGTTCAAACACAGTCCTTTCAAACACAGTCCTTTCAACTGTTCCAAGAAGGCTCCACATCTATTTGCACCACTCAGGTGACCCTGACTACACAGCTAAACCTCCAGGTGGCCCTAATGACTGGCTAAAAAGAACGCAAATGACCAGCTGTCTGCAAGGAATATAAATCCTTCCATTCCCCACCATCCAGTCAGAGCTGAAGAAGCGAAACGTCTTCAAAGAAAAACCAAGAAAATCCAGTTGCCTCTTGAAAAAGCACCTTTGGGACAACCGCAACCTGGATGATGACTGAGAATCTCCACAGGCATCCCGGTCAATTTCCAGCGAAAGTTGAGCTTTTTACTCCGATCCGTCCATGAGGTTTTTACTCCTAAACAAAGTATAAAACTTTATTTTGGAAACATCACGGGTCCACAACTTCTTCCCACTGGGGCGGGGCGTCCCTTGCGACCCGCCAGTCGTGCAAGAAAGCGATCACCCCCGACCTTCCCGCTGCATTCATCATCGAGAGACCAGCAACCGCCGGGGACTCCCCCTCCCAAGAGAAGAGGCGGCGCCCGCGGCAGCTGCAGAGGCTCCGCCTACAGGATCTTTCAGAGGGATTCCCGCACCAAACACGGAACTACAGCACGTGGGGAAGAAGCCGTTGGGGACGACCTTTCCCCTTGTCCCTAAACGTAACTTCCGGCTTCCTGTTTCGCTTTAACTTAACTTTGCAGGTCTTTGCTGGGATGTAGTTTTGATTTCTTGTCTCCTCCCCTCTCCCCCCACCAAGGGCTTGATGGAATTTGAGGCGCCTAGTTGGAGAATCCGGGAAATCCAGCAGGTGGGAGAAGCGGTGGCTCCGTTTCCTTTTCGGGACTTTTACGTGACACCATTTGGACCAACAAGAAGACCCTGGTATATTACACTCACGAGTGTAGTATTGATGATTACTGTAGTTCCTTTTTATATGCGAAAAATATGCAAACGAAGATACTTTTATTAGCTAGTTGCCTATATGAAGAAATAAGGTCCTTACGTCTTATAGTTAGGTTATAACCGAATCCATCTTTTATTGTTGTTTTTTGGATGTTTGATTAGAGAGGACTGTAAAGCACTGTGAAGAGGTATATTGCTGTTATGAAAACGTATATTGCTATGTTATTAAAACTTAGAGCTGAAAATGAAATTTCATTTGCCATGGACACAAAAGGAGCTGTTAGAAACATGACAATGTTATGGTAAAGTTATGGAGCTACCATTTTAACAAGTTAACAATTGGTTAACAAACAGCTAGAAAACTGGAGGCCTTGCGTTCAAATCCTGCCTTAGCCATGAAAACAGGCTGGGTGATTTTGCATCACTCCTTTTTCTTTTAGCCCAACCCACTTCACTGGGATGTTGGTTTTTTTTGAGACAAATTTTATTAATTTTAAAGACAAACAAAACATCATTAAACATTGAACACATAAAACCTCTCCATTATAAATGTTTACAAGGCAGATAAAACATTATTTTATACAACATAATTCTAATCTATCCCATTTCCATATGGACACATAAATATCTTTTAGCAAATTTCTCATTATTTCTCTTTACTCTTATTCAATTACATTTCTATATTTATTCATTTTATAGTCATCATATTCATATTTCCCTCTGACTTGTTTAAAATTATTCTCATCTGACATTCCTCCAAGGTTTTATTAATTCTCAAACAAACATAAACACAAAAACATAAAACTTCTTTTTAGAAAGTGGCTTGGCCCCGGATTACCTCTCTTTATACGGACTTCAATTAAATTCATGCTCATCTTATATACCATTACCTATCTTATTTACCATTCTATATCTTCTATATAACTTCTCCCCACTTTTCACTCTTCTTAATTCTATTTTATTTATTTCATCTTAAGTTTAAATCATTATACTTGTATCTTTTGTCCATTCTTTTCCAATTATCCATTTATCTCATTCCCTATAATAAAAAAAAAAAGATTTCTCCTGGAATCACTAATCGAAGTATGATGCCTTTCTATCGTTCCCCTAAATTGACATTTAAAATAACACCTAGTTCCCAATCTGATTCTGCTTAGTACATTCTACCTACTAAATTTTAAGAAAAAGAAAAAATAGTTAATCTATAAAATAATTAAGAACATAATTAAATATTAAATCTTGTAACATTCCAATTATCTATTTCAAAGACAAATGCTGCAATAATAAGTTTATAATAACATCAACACAATAGTCAATTAAACTCTATAATTGAACTAAATATTTTAAACATTCCCTTTAATATTTTATTAAATCTTAAAATCTATCATTATTAAGCATTTTAATATTTTAATCTTTTTTTAGATCTTATAAAATTCTAATTTTCTATTTCTAATACAAATACTACAATACTATCTTATGTACCTTGCATAATCTTTTTTTTTAATTATACATTACCCTTTATCCCTAAAAATTTTTTGCTTTTTCCCATCTTGTTTCATACCTTTGTGGCTTTTCCCCCCCTTTTCCCTTCCTTTCTTATCCCACCTGGCCTTTTTACCCCCCCCCTCTCCTAACCTCCGCCTTTTTAGCTTCCCCTCTCTGTTGTATTCCTCTTTTCTTTTGCTTTCTAACATTGTATTGATTTTGCATCTTATTTTTCTCTTTCTTGGGTGTTTTTTTAGGTCTTAAGACCTTCATTTTCCTTCCTCTCTTTCTCCTTTCTTTCTTAATCAAACTTTTGGATTCATTAAAGATGGCTTCTTCTTCTTCTTCTGCTTCTGCTTCCTCCATCCGTTGTTGTGTTTGCTGATAAATAGCAAGCGCCATTTCTAAAAAGTGAAAGGCTTCTTCCAAAGCGTCCTTGCCTTCTTTCTTTGTTTTTCCATATTCCTTTCTTAGTTCATCAACAGATAAAGCCATTATAAACCTTTTCTTCTTTTTTCTTTTTCCCTCTTCTTCTTCTTAAAACAACCAAGATATTTAAAAGCTTAAAACAGTTCCCCAAAGTCCCAGAGTCATCAAGCAGTCCAAACAGAGCACAAAGTTCTTCCCTTTACACTTTCTCTTCCTGGGGTAATATCAATTGGAAATAAAAAAAACCAGTCTGTATTTTAAAGCCTTATTGCAATTAACTTCTAGTCTCAAAATCTTCCAGGCATCTCCTCCAACAAGATCTTAATATAAATTTTTTTTTGTCCTCTCCCTTCCCACTTGTAACAAAGAGCTTTAAATTTTTACCTTCTATAAAAAAGCAGGTTTTTCAATGTCCATTTGTTAACTCCGTAGAGAAGGAGAGTAAACTTTCTCTTTCAGCACTTCCATTCGCCGCTTTAAAAATCTCCTCTGGAAACAAAGTATTGTTCAAAAAATCAAAGTTTTCAGGATGTTAGATGTATCTTAAGATCCCGGTTCAGCCAAAGAACTTTCACTTCAAAACTTTCTCCTTCTTCCTCCAGCACTATCTTGTCCAGCTGCCGGCTTCTTTGTGGCGGCCATTACTGACCGCCGCTCCACCGCCTTGAGAAAAGGGGGTTTTGCCGGCTGGGGAGGGGGTCTGCAATACCCCCAAACCCCTATCCGGATCCCCCCTATCTTCGGCTGCCTCTACGGGGCAGCCTTATCCTCCAGACCCGTCGGGATCGGAGGCACCAAGACGGCTAGTGCAACAGGGATCGCGCAGGATCGCGAATCCCTGCCGCCGCCCAAGCCTGGAAAACCGGAAGTTCCCCCTTCACTGGGATGTTGTTGTAGGGAAAGTACGAGAAAGATGTGTTGGATATGTTCACCACCTTGAGTTGCTGTATTTGTAAAAAAATAAAATAAAGATGGGATACAAATAAATAGAATATGTGGCAATGCTTGCATTTTAAATGGAGTGTTGTTAAAGGAAACATTCATCAGTGGCTATTCCCAGAACAAGTTAATAAATCCTCCTGAAGTGACCCTACATCCTTGTAAGTAACTTGAACGCCACTACTATAATCAAATGCTTGACACATGGCTTTGTGATTTGTTGGAATATCAGCATACATTTACAATCATATTTTGAAACAGTGATCGAGCAGAATTAGTCTTCTTTATATTACAACAGTGCAACTAGTTTAGGAGAAATGTGCTATATGCTAAGATTTGGCAAATTCAACTTTACTGTGATCCACGTGGAAGGAAGATTTAATTAAGATATTAAATAAATCTTCTAAATCTGAAGATATTAATTAAATTTAGATCCTAAACAAAAGCAAAAAGAATTGGAAACTCTACTCTAAAAATCAAATCAAACAAACACCATCAGTCACATTTAACCTGCTGGAAGAGAAGATATAATATTTGTTAAAATTATTACTGTTATTGTGCATGGTTACCTAGCAATGTTTTTATATACCACTCTGGTATTTTTGAAGATGGTATTGAATAACATACACTGGGACAATTGAAATGCATACATTTATAATAAGTATTGATACAAGCCATAACACCAACTGATGTTCTTAATACTGTTTAGTCTTCTATTTATCTAGCATCTATGTCCCAAAATCAGAAGGAAGTAGGCCTGGGTCGGCTTGAATACTTGCAAACCTTAGTCACTGAATTTCAAGTGACAGATAGCTCAGGTGAGTATAATTTATTGGACAGTTTGTACTTCCACATTGACTTTTACAGGTGCTTTTTTAATATTGAATTCTTTTATTTATGTTGCAGATGCCAAAGAGCAAGTGTTGGCTAATCTGGCCAATTTTGCTTATGATCCCCAAAATTATGAATATCTGCGGCAGCTCAGGGTCTTGGATCTGTTTCTGGACATGCTCACTGAGGACAATGAAAATCTTGTGGAATTCGCACTTGGTAAGGCCTGGATTTCAACATTTTCCATGAAATAGAACCATTTCTCAATAGTTATAGGACATAGGAGAAGCTAGGATGTTAGCCTTTTCCATTGCAGTGTTCAACTGTCTTCAGTTTAAGCTGTGAAGAACCTGTAATTATGTAATTTACTGCTAAACTAAATGTTTCAGAAGCCTTTCCCTGCATAAGCAATGATCAGAGAAGTAGAAGGGCTAGTTTCCTCACCCTTGCTTTACTAACTCTCTGGCGAAGGTATGGAAGTAGGTTGAACAGATTTTGAAAATAACGGCAAGAGGACGCTACCAAAATACACCAGCAAACATAACCCAGAGTACAGCTGAGAGCAGTAATATAAAGCAGTGATCGCCAACCACTGGTGGTCGGTGAGAAAATTTTGGTGGTCTGCAGAGAAATGTCACCCCAGAACACCCCCCAAAGCAATTAATCCAGGCTGCACAGGAACACAAGGCATGACCCTCCCTCCCCGCTCACTCACTCCTTACCTGGCAAACTTGCCTGCTAAATTGCTATCTTTCCTTTTTCCGACCATCTACTGTTCTGCTGTGTCAGGAGATTTAGATTAGCTAGAAAGCAGGAAATCATTAGATTTCTTGCTTTCTAGCTAATCTTTAGATCTTCGGCTCTGCTTAAAAGCAGAGCTGAACCTTCCTTAGGACTGAAGCAGGGCAGACTCAGCTAGCTGATGGCAGAAACACAGATCTCTAAGTGAATCTGTGATTTTGTGAGCAACGCAATCTGCCTGCCTGCTTTGCCTATTTTGGGTAAAAGTTGCTCTTTTTTATAAAAAAAAACCAATATTTACATACATGGTGTATTGTGAGTTAATTTTGTGAGTTCGCTTGCTAGCAAATGCTATGAGTTTGCTTGCAAGCAAATTTTATGTGACAGACTCAGCTAGCCAATGGCAGATAGATCTCTGAATGAATCTGTGATTCTGTGAGCAACTCAATCTACCTGCCTGCTTTGCCCGATTTTGGGTAAAAGTTGTTCTTTTTTATAAAAAAATTCAATATTTATATAAATATTTATAATATTTACGTACAAGCCATGACCACCAAGCCACGCCCACAGAACCAGCTATTAAGAAATTTGAATCCCACCCCTGCCTCTATGTGTTTGTGTGTGTATGTGTGAAAGAGAGAGAGAGGGAGGGAGGTTAGATTAAATCATCAACTCTCTCTACCTCCCCCTCCCTCTCTCTCTCTCGATTACCTTCAGTTTATTTGCAAGAAAAGGTTTTCATAACAAAATCGAGTGCAATTGAAATTAATTATGTAGATTACTTAATTTTTTTTATAAAACATTTGCATGTTATAAAATTCCAACTTTAGAAAAAGAAGTAGGATTTTTAAAAGGGGAAACTATTCAGTATTTTTTTGCATAGAGGAACTTTTGCCAATGTCAAAATAGTTAAACATAAACTATATTGGCTCTTAGAGGGTGCTTGTCAACTCTGCATCATTTCTCTTACCTGCCTTTCCTCCTTTTCGCCAAAAAAATCCAAATGTACATATTTATAAATGTATTATAAAATAGTGTACACATTTGGAAAAACTTGTATTTACAAACTAGATTGCAAATACAAGTTTTTCCAAATGTGGACACTATGTTATAATTCTGATGTTATAGATTCCAAATTCAGGAGGTGTACTGTTTTGTTCTTTCTCACAAACATTTGCACAAACTCATAATCTGTATATAAAATATACAAGCAGTATTTTATGACTTTTAAGATTCTGAATGTATCTTTGTTATAAGTTGGTCATTTGAACTGAGGAAATTTGGTCCTTCTCTGCTGTGTCTTCCCATTTGACAGGGCAGTATTTATGACTGATTCTACTGGTAGGTATGACCATATGTGACTGGTGAGTAATGGTTGTCTCAGTTTAGATCTCAGCACGCTCATTCAAGCTTCCCAATGTAAGGATTCTGCGGATGCAGATGTTTTTACACCTCCTGAAAGCTTTTTTTGATGGATATCATTCATATAAATAGCTTGCAAGTTTGCTTATACTATATATTGTAGGTAAACCTCGGATACCAACTGCAATTACGACTGACAACTGTTGCTAAACCACACAGTTGTAAAGTGAAACATCACATGAATACATCAACTTACATCATCAGTTCCGACTGCAGCTGTTAAGTGAACTACCCATGGTTGTTTAGATATATGAATATCATGTGACCATGGCTTGTGACTTCCTGCCAGCTTCCCCATTGACTTTGGCTGCAAATGGTGATCACACATTTTAAACTAAATGTATGATGGTTGTCTAGGACCTGAATTGTGACATGACTGCAGGATTCTGTGATGGCTGCAACTTCCAAGGATCAGTCACAATACTGCTTTTTTACAGTCATTGTAAGTTCAAATGGTCACCAAATGAGCAGTTCAGTACTGTACTTGTATCAGATTTAGCCCCAAACCATTTACAGACAGAAACAAGAGACCAAGTTGTCTTGGAACTACTGAACTGTACATTGTTATTAAAATGAAATGAACCAAACCACCCTGTTACTATCTTTATCACCTCATTCTCTTATTTTTCAGGAGGACTCTGTAATCTCTGCCTGGACAAAATCAACAAAGACTATATACTAGAGGCCGGTGGAGTGTCAGCTGTTGTCAACTGTCTGGCAAGTGCCAATGAAGAGACAGTGCTGTCTGCAGTTACAACTCTGATGTACTTGTTCACACCCCAGTCCCGCCAAGAGATCACCACCCTCCCTGTGATCGAGTGCATGCTGCGCTTCTCCCTCTCAAACAACAGAAGGCTGAAAAACCTGGCCACTATTTTCCTCGAGGATTATTGCAGCCCCTTTCAGGTGGAGCAGGCCAGGAGCTTAACCAGGCACTCGGCAGTCGGGATTCCACTGCCCAAGGATGAATGCAGCCCAGGAGGCAGCCAGCGAGATCCTCCCTGAATGAGGAGCAAGATTCTTTCCTGTCACACATCCCAGAGGAAAAGAGAAAGAATTCTCTATAGGTATTCTGTTTTAAAAATGACTGTAAATAATCCTGAGAGTTTCCTTGGGAAACATACAGTGGACTTTTAGAATGGATGGGTTCCTTTGTGCTTTTCAGTTCATATTTATTTATAAATATGAACCAGTTGCTATAATCCTGTTGCTAAAGGGCCTTGGTAACTATTGTAGACTGTTTGTAGAGGAGAGCTGAAAGAATAGAAATACATGGTCTTGAGATTTATTTTTCAGTAAGTAGCAGGGGGGAAAAGATAATGAATCAAAGAGTTGTCTTACATTTTTAGAGCTCTTTTGTTCATTTAATTAATTGGCAAACATAACAATCATTCCATCCAAGGGTTTAACATTTTAATAACTCAGATCATTCAAGCACATTTAGAATTAAGATATAATCCTATTCCCATATGGATCATTTGACTTGAAGGGCGTGTCTCTGTTTCCAGTTGGGATTGGTGATCAGCAAATACTTCCCAGAGCCTTTGAGAAATAAAATGTTCTTTTCTTTATGCTTCACTTGGAACGTTTGCTCTTCAGTATTGCCTTCCAGTCATCAGCCCATGATTCAAGTCTCCTCCGTGGCGGCTGTAGCTTTAGATGTTTGTTGTGACAGCAAGAGAACAAGATGTGTTCCCAGCTTGGATTTGGCTCTACCCCTGAGAAAAATTGGAAAGGATATTAAAAATATAACCAAATAATACAGCACTGTGAGGTAAAGTTGAAGTGGTAGCACAGATCCTCTTACCTTTAATGGTGTCCTTGTCATCAATGAGCAGATCAGCTGAAACAACTGTTTTATCTCGAGTCAGAATTAGTCGCTCCACAAATTTAGGACCCAAGTGTTGCGCGACCCATATATACTGTCAAGTGATGATAAAGCAGTTATTAGAAGAAAGGTACTTACAGCTTTCAAGAAAGCTTTTTTTTACTGTAAGACATTAGGAGACTTATCCTATGTAGCTTTAAGTCACAATGCTTGGACTATATCTCAAGCTGCTGATACTCTCCAAACATTCAAAGGTCTTTGCTCATTTTGCAAAGCACTACATTATAAATCTTTACACATTTACCAGCCTCTAAGTTTTCTATATCACTTCCACTTTTCAAAGTTCTTTTCCCCCCCTTTTTTCAATCCAATTCCGTCCTTAATTTGGTTAAAGCTCTTTTGTAGTCCAGTTTTTTATTTACCTTATATTGTCCTCTTGTTTTCTACTCGCCGCTGTTGTACTCTCAAGTGAGGAATCTTTCTGCTTTTCGGGGTTATTAAAACAAAAGGTTCAGCTTCTCTTGTCTGGATACATGACACTCACCGGTTCACCTCTCCAGCACACACTTAGGTCCTGGTAGCTTCCCCTCTTCAGGGCAACCATTAAAACTGCCGCTTCTCCCTGTCTTCCAGGGGAGTATACCAAGCCAGGGAGGGGAGATGCGACTCCCCTCAACCCAGCTGGGGGTCTCCCCCTCTTCCCCCACCCCTCCGAGGTGGGTCTGATGGTTCCGGTTCCGTAGGGACCCCTCCAACAGGGTAAGCATGTATCAAAGCTGCGCACAATCGCGGTCTCTGTCCGTCCTCGACGGAAGTGTCACCAGAAGTCCCCCGGCATAAAACTCTTAATAAATTGATAAATATTGTGGACGGAAGAGAATAAAACAAGTCTTTCATAACTAGGTGGCAGTGACAAACTTAGGAAATTACTACATGAATCAAGTAACATGGGCCTTTAAGTTTCAGCATCTTAACTATGCATATTTCATAAGATGCATATGTATAAACATATGTATAAACTATTGGACAATATAATCCTTTCTCAAGTGCCACTTACAAGTTTTAAAATCAGATAGCAGCAGCCTTTGCAGATGACCTGTGCTGTTTTGAAACAGCCACCCTTTCTGATTAGTACCATATTAATGTTTTGATGAATGGAGTATATTTTGTTTATTAAGGAGTAAATATACTTGATATTTTTTTCCTTCAAAGGGATGTATCTCTTTAGCGGCTTTGTAATGGCAAGATTTCAGTTTGTATAGGGCAATAGAGGATTTGGATTTTAATGGCTAGTAATCTTCTTAAGAGTTTAGTACCCTGGACTAAGACAGAACTTTTCTGTAATCTCAGAAGAACTAAAGCCGAGGCATGGTATGAAAGCCACCCAAACCTGTTCTGACATTGTCTTGTTATTAACCACTGACCAGGGATGAGGCAAGGAAAGAAAACCAAAGAAAGAAAAGAGTTTGCATGGTAAGAGTTTAAGAGGGAAGAATTGCCAACCTTTTCTGAAACGCAGTAGTCATATTTTCGTATAGGACTTGTGCAAATAAAAACTTCAGTGCTGAAAAGACAAGATAATCTCCATTACAAGAAGAAAATGTATGCTGATGCCAACATGTTCTTAATGTCAAATGGTCCCTTACTTGGGCATTTGAATCATCTCGTGCATTGCTTCAATAGCTCCTGGGATGGGCTGCAGACTCAGAAAGAAGCCAGGTGACTCATAGACACTGGCTATTTTGTCCTAAAAATAGCATATTTAGAATTATGGTTAAGACAGTTTAATTGTTTAAAATTCAGGTAGCTTTAAAAATCATATAAAGAAACTAGATGTCATGTTTTAAGTTCATTTCAAACCATGTTCCAAGGCGTCAGGTAAGTAGTACTAAAGGCCAAGCTGTTTTTTAAAGCAAGAAATTAAAATGGGTCATTGGTGCAAGATATTTAAAGTAGCTAGCGTGACTGTCATGATTATATTTCTATCTCATTCGTTCTTTTTCAAATAAAACTAAGTTTATACTCTTGAATCTGTTCCTTACTCAAAAACTTAGAAAAGTGAAGAACATTGTTGTAATTGAGGGATGACACTAAAATGATTCTCAAACCTTGCAAGATACAGCTTAGGTAAATAGCTGTAACTGCTTTGTAATTATTAGAATGAATAAGCAGTAGAAGGATTACTAGGCATACATAGATAACCTGTTAGTGCAGTGTTTCTTAAACTTGGTGGCTTGAAGATCTGTGGACTTCAACTCCCAGAATTGAAGCTGGCTGGGGAATTCTGGAAGCTGAAGTCCACACATCTTCAAGTCACCAAGACTTGAAAACACTCATCTTTTTAGTAACAAATGTATGGGTTGCATCAAGCTGCATTCACACACCAAACTATGATGTGGAAGGGAATTCCTCACACTTTCCTTGCTGTCTGGGTAATGCCACTTATGCCCCCAAATGCAGAGGCTTGGTTCCTGCCAGCCAGCTGTTGAACTAATTGCCGATGCCACTTCTCAAGATTGCAGAGTATCAGAGATCTGATCCAAGGTATAGGTGAGAAAAGAGACAGTCTCTTTCCTTTGACTTCCTCTGAGAAAACAGCCCAGGACTGCTGGAAAGGAGAGGGCAAATATTATAAAGGGGGTACCATAGGCAATTTGTGTGGTTCCTGTATCAAAGGGATGCCCAACTAAGAACAAAAAACAGGCATATTTCTCTCCTCTCAAAAGTTTTTGTGTCAATTTGGACAAAATTGACTGTGAGAGAGATTGCCACTTGTCCTTCAGGATATGATTTCAAACTCCTTTACTTTGTGGTCTTGAAAGCTTCAGGAAGGAAGTTTACTACAAACCTGTTCTGATTTTTCTTCCTGTTTCAGTATAAAGGCAAATGTTGCACCTCCTAGCAGAAATGAAGATATGGGAGAGCACCTAAGAACCCAGGGTTGACTTCCCAGTTTAGTTACAGCCATGGGAGCCCCTGATTTAAATCCTAAGCAGATGACACTGCTCAGCTTTCAAACCCAGAGGAGAGCCAGAGGCTGCCACCTGCTGAAGTTAGAAGGGAAGGTTTACAGCAGACTAACGCCAGCAGTGAAGCAACAGCTTTTATCAGTTCTCAAACAAAAGTGCAGAATTTTATATATCCAATACTGTGCTTTTAAAAATTATATGATTGTACTCTTAAGCACTCCACCAATTAAAAGCTCACAATATGAAGCAAATTTACAATGCTTCAGCTAAAACTTTATTTTAAAACTTTAAAGCTGCCGATTTTACCTGTACAGTACTGCAGAAATGCTCTTCCCTGCCTCTTAATACTATAATATTAAGAGGCAAAACTGCTTTGGGCCTTGCATATTGCAATAATCTGGCGCTCAATAGAGCAGCTCAAACTTTTGCAATCTTTTGCTAGCTTCAAAAAAAAAAAGCCACTTCTTTAAGAGGTGGATTGATGAATGATTCCTTAAAACAACAGAAAGATATGGAAACCTGACAAAGTTGGGGTGGCGTTAAGGAACACCAGATCTGTGTTTGCTTTGCTTAGGAAATCTTCCAAAATATCTGCTTTTCAAAGCAGATAGATATATATTTTTTGTAAAAGCCCCTTAAATGTTCTGATGTTTATCTCGGTATGAACAGAAACTACGATTTTAAAAAATGCTAGAGAGAAAACCTGGGACCTGCTCTCTACCACAGTATTTCTCCCCGTTCTCCTTCAGATGCAGGAATAACCAAGCGGAGGGGAAAGGAGATCCAGAGTTCCTCCTACCCCGGGATCTAGCTATCAGAAGCTCACCCCTAGGTCTTCCCGCAGACGACGGTACTGATCCTGCGCTGAAAAGCCCTTTCGTTGCGCCGGTTCCACGTGAGGCTCCCCGGGGTAGGAAGCGACAAAGTCGCGGAGCAGCCCGCCCTCGAAGTCGCTCAAAACCCCGTCCATGTCTACCAGCACACGGAGCGAGGGAGCCACGCCGCCGGCCATGTCTTCAAGCGGCAAAAAAAATTGCGGCGACGCCCCCAATTTAGGCCAGCAAGAGGATCGAGGAAGAACCGATTATTATTTTTTCCGGCGCAATGGAGTCGCGGTACTGAAGGGCAAAGGAACTTTTCAAACGCGGGGTCACAAATGAAGGCGGGAAGAGCTGGAAGAAGCAGAATAGCAAGAATTGGAAGGGGCCTTGGAGGTTTTCTAGTCCAACCCTCTGCTCGGGCGGGAAACGACCAAGAACCTCGTGGGAAGGAGTAAATCCGAGCCCTTTCATCGATGACAGAAGGAATTGGCCTCGACTGGAGTCCCGTTTGAGATTAATTTATCGAGCCTTTAAAGAACGCATTATTCCACGAGACGACTTTATATAACACATATATAAGACCTTGATTAGTTTCAAGGGAACGCAAGGATACTTTGTGTAAATAGCAGCATCAAAAGGTAAAGATTTCCCAGTTTTAATCCTAAAATGTTGTTTAAATATTTCTTACCTAAAAAAATCAGCCGGTATCAACCGATAAATAATTGGACAAAGCAGATAAACATTTATTTTGTGATATTGCAGTTTTGATTTTGCTAAGGTCTGGGTTTGATCTTTAAAGTCAAACGTGTCTTCCTGATTTTGTATGACTTTTAGATGGTTTCCATCCGAAACTACGGTTTTCTGAGTTAACACAAAATCTGATGCAAAAATCAGAGTTAAGTTGGCAAATTAATCAACCACATGTGTAAGAATGAGCCATGGAAAGAAGCCCTATACAGCAAAGTTTCTCAACCTTGGCAACTTGAAAAAGTGTGGAGTTCAACTCCCAGAATTCCTCAGCTAGCCAGACTAACTAGGGAATTCTGGGAGTTGGTCCAAGTATCT